GACATGACCTCATGCCATTATCACAAAATTTCAAACCAATTACAAGTAATGAGTCAACACAGTAACTTCAGTGTTACAAAGTTAGAACTCAAACAGTGTTAAAACTAACTCAAGTTTAAACAGTAATATTGACTACACTAACTTTATTCTAATGTATACTGATACGATAAGGCTCCAGGCACTCTCAATTCATTTAGGCTCCAAGTACAAGTGCATTAGCATGGTAGTAGAGATTGTCTTTAAATGTGAAGACTAACATTGAATATACTTAGAAGGTTTGTACAAAGCCCCATCTGAAATAACTATTCTCATGGATGAGAATAGTTTACCTCATACCTTCTGATATGTCAAGGGGAAGGTTTACCTTATTATAGAGCACCTTTACAATAACCTGAAGCACCTAATGCTGTACAGTACAAATCAATAAGTACAAAGCTAGCATCTCTTGTCTGGGCCAGTCCTCGCCATGTCCCGTCACTACTCTACATGTCTACAGCTACATCTTGCTCCCTCATCCATCACCAGCCCCTGCCTCCCCTGGTCCCACTGTAGAGGTGAGCCGAACTGGTAATGAGGGCCTCTTGTACCCCTGCCTGCCTGCCTGTCCCGTGTCCTATGGTGCAGAGTGGGGGCCCATACAGGCAGCTTGGACAGGAGCCAGAGCCTGTCCCGGGCACTCATTGCTCATTATTCTCATTACCTCGCCTCAAATCAGCGCAAGACAGGCCGCTGGGATCTGTCCACAACTCATAAAGGTCCCGCTCATTAGTGGGTTTGCCAACTTCAGCTCTCGTCAAAAGAAGTGAGGTCCTCCACTAAGGTGAGTTTGAAATGTGTGAATTTAGCAGGCAGGGGTATTCAACTGTTTCAGTCCAAACAATGGAAAACTGTTACAAGATCCAAATGTGGCTTTTGGAAGCTGTTTACAGCCCTGATTCAAAAGTGTTAGGGTGCTGTGCACAATGTCTAGAAACCTTTTTGTATCTGGCAAATCTATCCATGCTTTATATAATGTATGTGTTGTCATTGTTTTTCTTCTTGTTTTTCTTCTTTGTGAAGTGAATTATGTCTCCCTGATTTCAGATAGATGTGATTGACAGGCGATCTGACCAATCAGGGACACGCACGGTCCATCTGCATCAAAAACATGGCTGCTTACATGTAAAAAAGGGGAACAAACAGCATAAAGTACTGAGAGGGCAGACCTTTGCAGAAACAACACTCAAAATCCAAACTCTTCTCAGCTAAAAGTAGTTAAATGTTCAGTTCTGAATGTTACCAGAATTTTTGAGAGGAGATGTCTTCCACATTGGAAGTTGGACTGTCTCAAGTTAGGACAGAGGATTTTCACCCTCTGATATCTGGTTTCAGACCCTTCTAGATTCTAACAGGGAACAACAAGGAACTGGTTGGTCAGGCAATAAAAAAGGTTTATTGTTGTTAATATTGTTATTAGAACATATATCTGTACAAATGCACATACAGTATTTTAGAAAAAAAATGGGACAAGGGTAACAAAAGGCATCAAAAAAAGGGTGCATAAATGGAGGGAGATTATGAGCGTACAGTGAATAATATCTGGATTTGAAGGAACCACAAAGGAGTCTGTGGCAGGTCTTTAGAGAACTATAGAAACAGTTGTGACAGGAAACCACAGTCAAATCAGTAGTCAGTGTGGAAATAGCACATACAATGCAATAGATTCTACCTCTGTCCATTTAAATGATTTCAGAAAAGATGGCAGTGTTTGAGTATAATGTGCACATATAATTTTTCCGACTTCATAAAACTGTGGCGGTAAAAACGCTACAAAAACAGTAGTCCAGTAATCGACCAAAGCACAAAAACATCTCATTTGCCCCTGTGGCCTTGGGAGGCTTGGCAGGTTACGGAGGCAGTTGCGGGTTTGCACAGACCAATGAAAAGACTGAGCTGTATGCAGATTGCCGTGGTGTCAGGCTAAAACCTAGGGGCGGTAAGCTGTTTTATTCCATTAACAACAGTGAATCAAACCACAATGAGCTCTGAATAGACGCGTGGTGCAAGTATATACTAAGCCTCAAGTCAAAAGAGGTAATCCAGTGTGCCCCTGTCTCATAGAGACACTGAAGGAGCGGGTGTGTGTTTACTGAGGCCTGGTGGGACGGAGCGGCTGCAGCAACTGACCACATAATATGAGTAAATACACACCGCGCACAAAATGACAAGCACATGTAGACGACAGACTGGAAACAATGATCTAGCTTCGGGCTAACAAAGACTGAAGAGGTGAGAATGCGGGTAAGTAATAGGTAGAGTAACTATATGGAGAACATAATGAATTGTTCCTTGGTCTTGTGCAAGTTGAAATTCGACAAAAGGGAGATTTACCGAAATACAGGCTGGATAATAGGATGAAAAACAATTCTTTTGATTGTGAAATCATCTGCACTGGTTTGAGATGTAAAAGAAGTAGAAAAACAAGAAGGTTTATTTGAGCTGACAGTACCTATTGCTACTGGCATTACTACAATTGGTAGGTCCGCTGCAACCGCCACATCTGCTTATAACTTAACATAACAAGTTCAATACCACTGCAATCAAGGTATGAATATTTCAAATGAATATATAGATTGGATGTTAGCTTATTATAAATTTGTATCTGTGTATCCACTTTTGGACAAACCTAGTGCAAAGATGCTACACTGGTCTAATCTAAATGCCTAGCAGTTACACAATCTGTTAAAGTTCTAAATCTAAACCAAGTTGACCATGCTGGGTTGGCCATAAATTGTAAATCACACATCCCTCTCAGTTCAAAATGTCTTTGTACACATTTTCCCCATGAGCTCACATGAGTTAGTGACAAATGGCAAGTAATGAGTAAGAAGAACATGACATTTAGGACTGTCAAAAGTATTGAAAATTCAAATACTAATCGATTCTAAAATCAAGTACTGATCACATTCACACGACAGAAATGAACCTTTCCTTTAGCATGAGCTTGAGCTGTATCAGAACAAGTTTAAGACCACATAGACTAATACACACCCTGGAAAGTTTTTGGATGACTGTGGGATTATTACACAGATATAAGGCCACGTGGTAAAATACAGGAAGTACTATGATTGTTGAAAATGAAATTCTATTGTCTAAAGAAAGAGACAGAGTTAATTACCATCATGGTACTGGAATCTGCACTGAGTCTATTTCTAAGAATCAAAATCAAGTTTAAAATGTTAGTATCATGACGAATGGCCCTTTATTCTCTCTATTTTTGTGTGTCCCCCGCCAGGTTTAGCACTGCTTCAGGTAAAAAGCCTTGTTAGTGGACGGTCTCACATTACTCAGAGCCCCCTTGTCTGTGGCTCTACAGGGAACCATGTCCACACGTACAAAAACAGGCTCATTTTACATCAAAGACACACATCTTCTACAGATTGACTTAAGGCTAAACACTTTCCACTCAACAGCCATTTTCCTATGTTTACTCCAGCAGGGTGCAACAAGTTTAGCTGGGAACTGGGCCCTAAATTGTTTCACTTTTTACGCTGACGGGATACAGTAAAATGGGAGAAACAGCCGTCTCAGCAGCTCCACTATTGTTTTCATCTGGCATGGCTGGAGTAAGAGGCAGTAGGTGTGCGCTAAAGAGGTTTAACAACACCAGCAAATTACCATATTTTTCCAGCAGTTTTTATTTTTTATTTTTTTTGAGGGGGGGGCTTGTTAGCGTCATGGGTGGTAGCTCAAAGTGGCATGTGGAACCAATATACCAGCAGCAGTACACCGCCCCCTCAACACCACTATAGTCTTATAACAACAAGAACTATGTCTGAGGACCAAACCCTGCCCATCTGCAATCCTGTTAGGGCTTACTGCTAACATCTTATTGGATTATGTGCATGTCAGTGGTTTATGTAGACATTTTCAATATGACTAATATGGAAAGCTATAGTATGCTAAAAGTTTGACATATTTCACTTACATATCCACAGTAGCACTCCATTATCACATAGAAGGAATTACAAATTACATTGCAACTATTGAAAGAAAGGAATGATTTATTACTGTATTTCTATTGTGTGTAACTTTGTGATGTGAATCTATACTCAAAGTAGTAATTAGTAGTCATTTTAAAGGGCCCATATTATGCTATTTTCCGATCTATGTTATGATGTTGTTTCCTCATTAAAAACATACCTACAAAGTTGTGTTTGTGTTTTGTTTCATTCACACATGTTTAACACACAAACTCTGCATGTCGAGGCTGTTATTTTCTCTCAAACTGAAAGCACTCTAATCCACCTTTTGATGTCATGCGATAATACAAGAAGTGCTCCACTGTGTTTTTAAACTCCACACACCTTCACCAGAATCATTTGGATGATTTCAGCCCTGGAATTGCCAATCTCTATTAAACTAAAAGTAAAAGGTAGATGTTAACTTGAAAACTACCACTACATGACATCACAAGGTGAAACAGGGCATTTTGAGCTTTGGTGATGTAGACAGACTAATACTAAAGGATTACTCAAACATGTGTGAATGAAACAAAGCACAAACATAGACTCTTGGTATGTAGATAACAACATTCTAACATGGCTGAAAGCTCACAAGACTCTATTTTGTGTAATGTAGGAAATGTAAAGCTTGAAATATACATTGTGTATTATTATTTTATTGGAGCAGGGATATTAATGAAAGACAGTTCACATTTAAATATGCACGTGTCACTGTCCTGCCTTATGTCTAGCTGTCAACTCCACAGAGAGGCTGCATATCTTGTCCTGGTGAGAGAAGTTCACCTATAATGAACCTCTGAGGAGTGATTATGTGACCTTTTCAACATGAGCCTGTGATAGTCTGCTCTGCTGGAGCCTGTACAGGGACTGAGCCATCTATAAAGGCACTGAAACATGTCAAAATACTTGAATCGCCGGAGCCAACAACACTCTACCCCAACAGCACCACCATATACTAATTATAATGTTTTATAGTAGTAATAGCTGATTACTTACAGCTTATCCAGAGCAGAAAGTCCAATGAAAGATCCATTTCTCAGAACCCTGATTTTGTTGTAGCTCAAGACACTGTGAAAAAACAAGAAACACACATATTAAATAAATAGTACAATAATAGTATAATACACACTCATGCAGATTGAATTTATCAAACAGACACAGGGTCACATGGGGAGATAAGAGCTGGTAATGTGTTTTTAGAGCTAGAGCCTCACATCAGATTAGCCTGACCAGAGACATTAAACTAAGATGTTTCCCATTAATGTTAAGGATAGACGGATCTGCAGATTAGGAGACAAGCTGTAATCACCATAATCATTTTGGATGTTATTTTCATCAAAGGGACAACTTTTCACTTCAAACGCTCAGCGGCACATCGCAGGAGATCAGACCATCAGTCTTTCCCTTTCCCATTGAGTTTGGACTGGTGTGACTCCAGGGTACACTTTAGGTTAGTCTGACCCCAAAAAGCACTATCAATCTAAGCAGCTATTTTGTTGTGTGTTTGTTATGTATGACTTTTTATAGTGTGAAAAGAGAAAACGCCATATAATATACAAGCAGTCAGTAAAGAAGCCTACATAGTTAGCTATTTTTGCTATTTATTTAGAAGTTATTATTACCATTTACATTTTTGGCTTATGTTACTATGATATATTATGATGTATGAGCTACTGTGTCCAAATAATTTCCCTTGTGGATCAATAAAGTTTGTTTTAGTCTATTAAATCTATTGTTACCAGAAATTAGGATTTGGTCATATCCTCACTCAAACAGCGTCTTCCTTATTCAATTTAAATTTTTCTTTATACTATACCATTAAAAGGATCAAACTTACTACCATTCTCATGCGTACACCTATGTATTTGTGTTTGAAACTTGGATTGTGAAAAGACCTCTTTAAAAATATGTGTAAAATATAGTTTAAAGAATTAGTGATTGTGTAAATGAATGGTTATCTATTCTCTCTCTTCTTTCTTTCTTTCTTTTGTTCTCTCTCCCCCTTTCCCTCTCTTTCTGTCTAGCCACATTCAGACTAATGGGGTATTTATTAAGTGTGTGTGTGCTTTTTGCACAGGGAGCTGAAATTTACAGATTCTGCAGCAGCAGTCTCCCCTCTCTTTCCTGCCACATCAATAAAAACACTTCGCCTCCAGCTCGCAAAAGATGTAATCAAACACAGTATTTACACAAGGACAAGGTGTGCAATTTACTACAACCTCCACACAGTCTCATCTCTGATTACCACGGTACAGGACGTGAAGCAGATCTATAGGCAGTATGGTTGTTCTTGACAAAATACGGTCAGTTCCTACCATTATGTGCTAAAATTAGATGTCGGATTTTTCAACGTGGCTGCAATCAAGATGTGGGACCTGCTTCACTGATAATGGCTGTAATTGAATTCAGACCACATCCATTTACATTATTTAGGCAGTTAGCCAAAGAACTGGAAATAGGGAGCACTTGACTTGAATCATCTTATGGCAATACACACTTTGACAGTAAAATAATAATAACAATCTGAGGTGGCACAATTATCAAATTGCAAAGGCAGCAGTTGTTTAATAGACTGTCCTCAACAAAGAAAAATCTTGTTGTACCTATAGTTTAACTTCATATTCTGAAACGCATTGGATTCTTGTAATAGTTTATTTATTTCAGTCTTCTCTCAAATTTTAATGTTCCTGGATATGTTTACAATGTGCACTCTGAACAGAATCCCAGTGTTTCCCGTTAATACAGGAGACTATGATGGTCCCCCATAGTCTAAAATAAACTGGACCATATAATGGCATAACAAAATTAGACTTTGTTGCTCATTGTATTATCACAATATAAAAGAGATTGCACACTTTTTTTCAGAATGGTTATGGGAAAAATGAATGAGAAATTTATTTCCAAAACTGGAAGGTGGGCAGTCACTATTGAGCTCATTTTAACATAGGCAGTAAGTGATATTTAACCTCCACAAATTAATAACAAAAAAAATTTGTGCCACCATAGACTTTGAAAAATCTATGGTAAACACTGGAGTCCCTTTATTTTAATATTTTTTGGCTACAAAGTTACATTCTGTGGCTGTACACATCGCAAATCTAATCTCAATCACAATACTTGTTAGAAGCATTTAAATTAAATGCTGTTTTCCCCAAATTATTCAGAATTAACATTTAGAAAAACCTCACCATACTGACTTTAACATAAACTATATCAATTACATATTTAAGAGATATATCTATATCTGTCTTTATCACAAACTGCTGTTCCCCTGGCAATTTTGCATCAAAATAATCTCAATAAAAAATAATCTATAATCTAGAGATGCACTGATCCCTCTTTTTCAGTTCTTAAAACATAAATAAAATAAGACAGGCATGATTCAAATGTGTTATGTAGCAGTTACTTATCTTTCAACTGACTACAGAACAACTTTGTGCAAATAAAAATTCTAACATTATGAGACTTTCTGGGCTGACTATGACCAGTAAATAGTCTTATTACATCAATGTCTATGTCCAACCAGGATATCAGATCAGTGCATCCCTGATCTAAAGCCCAGAGCACCAATTCCTATTACAGTACATCCAAAAATATCAACATACTCTCTAGAAAAGTTTTTCTTTAAACACCCTGTTGATAGAGATGTTTCCAAAGGCACAAGTAGAAAATATAATTCAGAGAGAACATTTGTCATGTTCACAAATCACCATGCTGCACCAAGAAAACAAATGACTAACACTGAGTCAAGATGTTTTTAGTATTAGTGAATATCTGTCTCTCTGGCGTAGCCCTGGTTTGAACCTCTAGCTCCAGTCCTGAAGTCCAGCTCCTCCTGCCCTCACTGTGGACTCACTATGTCCCATAACCAGATACAGGCTCCAGATGAAAGATCCACAGAGCCGGAACTGCTCCAATAACTCAGAGCAGAGAGGAGAAAGTCACTGGCAATGATACAACACATGTAATCCAATACAGACAGCTAGACTTGTTATTACGCACAAACAAGCGCACAACGGGGCCATGTTTTTGGTTTGACAACTGTATTTTCAAAATGTCAATACTTTTAATGTTGTTTACATATTTTCCTCTGTTTTCTCTAGCATGCATGTTGATTGTAATGGCATACAGAAATGCCATTTTTATAGACTTAAAGCATGCTATGATACAGGCATTTCTGCTTGCTTGTTTGTTTGTCGTAAGTTCCTGTGACATTTAAAAGGAAAAAAGAAGGATTTGGGAACAAAAAGCCAGATTTCCCAAACTATATAGTACTGATGTAACCACTGATCACTTGTTATAGAAAAAGCATTGTTCTTTTTTCATGTCGAAAACAATGCAGAAAGTACAACTGTGCACAAGGAGCTCTGTAAACAGACAGAAATAGTTTGTCCATTCCCATCAGGCCAAACAGGAAACCCAGCCAATTAGCTGTTTATGCTGAAGTCAGTCTCCAGAGGTCAAGGGTTGTCCTGGGAGCACTTTCCAGAAGACGTTTTTAAGTCACAAGGCCTAGACATGAACTTTTCTGACTCAAACATTTTTTTTGTAGTTAGAAGTAAATAAAGAGTTTTTAAAAAATTGCTGTAACTATTATGTTTAGGTGACCACATTGTAAAAATAAAAATAGACAGAAATATACACTTTTTACATTACGGCTGGCTCAAAATTGAACAGAAAAGGTCAACGCTAGGATAAAACGAAAAAGAAAAAGAAAATTGACTAACATTTGGCAGCATTTCCTGAACTGAACTTGATCCAGAGTTTCGTAATGATCACAGTAAGTGCTCTTATTATTTTAATATTGAACTGATAATGCAACTGGCTTTTCACCGTGGTTGCTTCTTTGAGTTTGTTGTATACATGATCAGACGTCAGACAGACTTTATGTTATTTCTAGAGTGACATTTCTGTTGTTCTCTTTGTCATGACACTGTATTAATTCACTCCACAGAGTATATGGCCTGTATCTGTGACTGTGCATCTGTGTTAGCTACGTTTAGCATCTCTCACTCACTTAACCCTTTCAGACCACAAAGAGCCTTTATAAGATACTGCACGGCTAATTAAATCCACCTCATCAATGGAAAATCCAGGGCCACATGTCAGGCTCCAGGATCTCAGTGAGCCATTTCATCTAATTCATTTATATGTGCATCAAAAGAAAGGGTCATATGGGAGGAGCACAGACACTGTTAGAGGGGTTACGCTCGGTCACTGGCACGCACGAGACATGACGTCAACTGCACTTACATTATAGCAACAGATTTAAAAGATGGCTCATATTAGTAAGAAGACCATTTCACTGTTTTAACACAAAAGAAACTGAGCAAAAGTATTGAAAAGTATCCAGTGGAGCATGCCTGGACAAGGACAACTGAAGGAATACACAGACTTAGTTTTGGTTAAAGTGGTTGATCAGCTGTCATAGTAAAGCATGGTTTTCAGTTGGTATATAATAATTGAAATGATACAACATGGACTGTGTATATAATGCACTGTAAAGAGAACTTAATGACATTGGCTGCTTGAGATATTTGATTAGATTTAGAGTTTATTTAATAAGGGGCAGTGCAATTTCATAAAACACATGAATAAACAAGCCAGATATGATGATATAGATGCATATGTGGGCTGCTTTTGTGAGTCGTAACAGCAAAGGGGTAAGACTGTTCCTGTCCTGACCACAGCAGCTCCTCCCTGTGTGATGCCACTTCACTTTGTTGGTTTACTCAATTTGCTTCCTAAAGCCACAGGGACTTTGAGAGCCATGACAACATGTTACAAATCCCACTCACACATTTCTATTTGAACTGTAAGTATGAACAACCACCACTACAATATACAGTACTATGCTACTTCTTCCAGCATTGCAGATAATCACTGCCATGCCAAATAAGTCAACAGTGTCAAAACACATTATTATACTTTCAGAATGCACAAACAGCATGTCATTTTTACTAAAATGTGGGAGTAGGTATTGTTTAGTTCTTGTGTGGTCACTCTGGCCACTGTGAGATACTGGTGAAAAACATCCCACAAACGTATAACCGGTGACGGAGTTAGCA